CATTCCTGCCCATTTCTTTTCATAAACATATCATAATTTCATATTGGCCTAGGACGATGATGGTCAAGTCACGGCTCCATGAAAAGACTATTCATTGCTGCAGAGGCCTGATTATTGAAACTCTCTACTTGTCTGGAGTTGAAAATTACATTCATGAGGGTGTCAATCACCAGAGATAGTAAGATCATAAAACAAAGAAATTCATCCTTCTCCCCACCCCCAATAACAGACTTTTAAATGTTTTAGTATAAGAGATGACAGGTTGGGTGGTAGCTGGGACAATAGATTCCCACATGGCCAACAGGGGTTTGAGTTCCAGACCTGGTGACTTGTATTCTCACTTTCTCTCTCTCAGTCTGTGTGTGTGTCTGTGTCTCTCTGGTCAAATGAAAATAATAATAATAATAAATAAGATTTAATAAATAATTGTAAAACAAAGTTTCAGTATGATTATTCTGTGCTATAGTTTGGATTATATCTCCTAAAATTCATGTCATGAGCCATTGTAATAAGATAAGAGGGTGAAAACTTGATCCAGTTATAGTATCACAGGGTGGGGCTTTAGGGAGGCGATTAAGATTAAGGTCATCAGAGCGCTGCACCCGAAGTTGATTATAAACCCTGGAAAGTTTATAAGGAGAGATGCACACAAAACACAGCCCACACTCTCCTGCTCTTCCACATTGTAATGCCGTCAGAAGATCCCCACCAGAAGAGGCCCTTGGACCTTGGACCTCCAAACCATGAGCTGAATAAACCTCTGTTTTTATAAATCACCCAGTTCCAGGTATTTTCTGTTATTAGCCATAAAGTGAACCAGAACATTCGGTCTCCATTAAAATTTATTTTCTCTAGGATTAAAAGATGTAGTTAATTCAATCATTTCTCAAGTTTTGTTTTCCTTATTTATTTCTTTAAGGGGTCATTTTGTCTGAATCTATAATCTATTACCATTAAGCATTGTCTATCTTTTCTTTTTTTTTTTTTTTGAGAGACAGATTTTTGCTATAGGGATAGGGAGCGTGTGCTCACCGCAGAGACAGAGAAATAGAAGGTGAGAAATCACCCCCGAGAGTCGATGGCCACACTACAGTCACATCTCTTTCATTCTCCTCTCAGGATCTGGGCACACACATGCATGTTCCTGGTTTTTAGTTTTAAGCCACCAGCTCCAGGCCTCAAACCATGGTTAACTATGTGGGAGTCCAGCAACATATCCATTATGTCACCCGCTGGTCTGGCATTGTCTATCTTAAAGTATGTTGGTATGTTTTCCCAAAATGGACAGATCATCCCAACTTTTGTCTGATATATGCAGAAAAATAAAAAACTATCACCTCCGTGCTAATCCTTTTTTTTTTCTATTAATGCAGCTTATAGCACCAAACCATACTTATAATATCAAAGACATCATTAGAGTAAAACCTGATGTATTGCAAATATCAGACTTGCTGTATAAGAATAATAAGAAACTAGTTAAAATAAAAGTGCTAAGATGCCATTCTACAGATTATCATTCAATAAAACTGAGAAAGGCCCTAAGCAATCTAAATTTTTATTGACATAAAATCAGAATTAGAAAAATTAGACATAGACATCTGATCCATCTCAATGCAATAGGGTCCATGTGAAAAGCAACATCACTACCTCATGAGATTAATGAGAAACATCTCTTGGGGAAGACCTGATCTGGCCCAACATGAAAAAAAGTGTGGCTATTCACCAGAGTCCGTGCTGGGTAGGAACTGAGCCCCGCCTCCACTTTCCTTGCACCATAACTGTCCCATAACATCCTGTTTAGCAGTCTCTAGGCAGATTCACATAACAAAAGCCTTTGTAGGAGAATTAGACTAGAATAATAACCATTCAAGACAGAACCCACCCATGAGAAAACAACCTTCTCAAAATAATTGTCACATCTTGCTTGAATGTCCCCTTATTCTTTTTTTTTTCCCCTTTGGTGAGGAGAATTATTTATTTAATCATATTTTTATTATTTTTTTATATTGCTATAAGGCACATGCACTAACTAGAGAGAGACACAGAAATAGAGAAGAAAAGTATCAGGTCTGGAATTTGAATTTCAGTCGGCCATGTGGGAGTCCAACGCTTTAACCACCCTGCCTGCTGGCCCCCTTGAGTCTCCTTATTCTAGCATTTTGGTTTTCCTACAGTGAGGAACTGCCTCACCATTCCTTTATGAGCATTCCATCTGTCATCCATGAAATCCAAGAGCATGCTTAGGAGAAAAACATAAAAGTGAGTACAAAATCATGTAACATTATGAGTTGGGAAATGGAAAGTAATTCTTAATGTTTGCTAAAATTTTAAAACTCTCACATGTGCAAATAATTTTAAAAAGCAAATTTTGGTCTTCACCTTTTTATTGTTTTCTTTTTTCCTAGATATTCTTGGTGATACTAAACACAAATTTAATTTGATTCTATTAATTATCTATCAAGTTTTGCAAAAGTTCTTTTGAAGTTACTGTGTCCATTTTGGTTTTAAATCATGTTTCCAAACAGAAATTTATCATTGATAAAAACATTTTTATGAGGATTTCCTAATTTTATTTTTTGAGATAGAAAGAAAAAGTGTTTTTTTCTTTTAAGAAATGGGGAAGTGAAGCTAGAAAGCAAAAGTGGAGGGGCGTGGTGGCGCGCCCCCCCCCCCCCCCCCTGAGCAAAGCAAAAGAGGAGAATCTTAGATTTAATCCTCTCAGTTCTAATTCTAAGTCCAATCTTCTTTTCATTGTGCCATCCTTATTCTATTGCCAGTATGTTGTTGTTGGTTTCAAAGGCAAGAAAAATATGGTATAATTAAAGCATCTTTGCTATGTCTAATATATGACCTCCATGAACAAAAGTAAATTTTAAAAAAAAGGAAAATTTGATGGCAAGCAGAAAGCATAGAGGTTAAGGATGCTGGGTTCCACATGACTGCCTGAATAGTTTGAGTCCAGAACCGAAGGTTTAAAAACAGGCTGGGTGCATGTACATACATACCCAAAATCCTAAGAGGAGAATAAAGAAGAACTTGTGGTGTAGACATCTCCATGGGGAGTGATTTCTCACTTTCCCTTCTTTTTATCTATATCTATAGATGCATATCTATATCTATGGATACATATATGGATATATATTTCATATTGAGCATTTTCACAAAGCTATTGTCCATTACTCAGAAACCCTAGTGATTTTTTTTTTTTTGGTTAAACTTTTAAAGAATCCAACAATTGCTAACATTTAATGCACACTGATTTTACACTAACATTTCTAAAATATGCTATAAAATATGTTTATTTCCTTTATTTCTCTGAAATTTGGAAAGGTAAGGGACTTACAGAAAACTACAAAGTTGGTTAGACTGCCTGCTTTTGCCATTTAACTTCATGATTCATGTGTTTAATCACTACAGTTTACAGTCTGTAGTGAGCGCTCTTTCTGATTACAGGTGAGCTGTAATAGATTTAATGACCATGACACAGGCATATCACAACACCGTTTGCCCCAGGTGTGGAACACATTAAAAAAAATAAAAAAGCAAAAAGCAAAAAACAACCCTGCCAACTATTCACAACGTCAAATAAAGATATCAGTGGAACCAATAATGCAAAATGTGAGCAAAATATGATCTCTGCTTTAAATTCTTTATTGTCAGAAATGATACAAAGTCACTCAACAACACCATTTTATGGATAGAAACACTCCAAACACTATAAATGTTCCTTGCTTTGTAGAAAATCAGGACAACAACCCAGGTCTGCTGACTCCCAATCCTAGGCCCAAATACTATTTTCGTAATTCCATCCACTACGTCTTCTGACCCATGGGAATCAAACTCCTTATACTATAATATGACCTAGTACATAACATGTATAAAACACCATATCATTCACAAAGTACTTTAAAATCTACTGTCTTATTTAATTCTTATAATAGCATCATGAGATATACATTACTTTTCAGATCAAGTAAAGGAAGTTTCTAAATGGAAACAATGGACAGAACCATAGAACCATAAGTGGTAGATGATTCTGGTGGTTCAAGGTACATTTGTTCTATATGCTTACATTAGGAAGCTTAGAAAACATGTAGCTTCTTTGGAGACATAGCAGGCTCAGTTCTTCAATCTGTTACCTACAACATAATTACTAGTATGTTGAAAATATTGGCCTTTATCTTTCAACATTTTCCAAAACTCACTACCAAAAGAAAGATCTCCAATCTTTCAGAAACTGAGATATAGATTTGACCTACACCATCGCATTCCCAAAACCTTTTAGTATTTATAAATGATGTTTAGAAATAGTTCTTGCTCTTCAAACTTTAGGATCAACTTATAAGCAAATTATATAAGCTATAGTAGATGGAACAGAACATGGATATTTTTAATGTATGAAATGTCAAAGTAAAAATAGAAGTGACAGATCTTTGGAGACAGAAGCTGATTAAGGGAAGTGTATCAAGGCAAATAAGAGACAGCATTATGCTGTCAAAAGATGATGATAGAGAAATAGTGATTAAATATGTTATTTA